AAAGAGGAAAACAAAGAGGACGAAGAAAAAGAAGAAGACAACGAAGAAAAAGAGGAAGACAAGGAAGGCGAAGAAGAAAAAGAGGAAGAAGAAAACGAAGAAGAAGACAACGTCGACGAAGAAGAAACGACAACGAAGGAGACAACGGCGACAAAGAAAATGAAGAAGAATACAAAGAGAGAAAAAAACAAGAAATCAAAACGAAAAAAATAATACAAAAAAACAATAATAATAAGATTAAGAACCCCCCCCCCAAAAAAAAAAAGAAAAAAAAAAAGGCATAAACAGGCGAAAGAGCTGTCAACCGCTAACCGTAGCAGTCGCGCGGTCGTCTTAAGCAGGCATCCGCTCGTCCGTCTCGAGAAGCAGGTAATTGCAGATCTCGGCTCCTGCTTCATCTCGCCTTTGAATAATCAGCGTCTTGGCTTGACGTACAGAAGCTGCGTCGGGTGGAAAGTTCTCGTGAAAGCATTTAGAGCTATGTGGCGGGGGAGCTTGCGTGGGTTGCTGCTGTTTTTTTTTGGGGGGGGGGGTTGGGGTTTTTGGGTTTGGGTTTGGTTGGTTTGTTGGTTTTGTGATTGTTTGTTTTTATCTGTCTTTGTTTGTTTGTTTGTTTTTCGTTGTTTTATCTCTGTGTTTGTTTGTTTTTCGTTGTTTGTTTGTTTGTTTTTCGTTGTTTTTCTTTGTCTTTGTTTTTTGTTGTTTTCTCTGTCTTTGTTTGTTTGTTTTTTCGTACGTTTTGTCTCTCTGTCTTTTTTCTGTCTTTTCTTTCTCTCTTTTTTTCTTTCTGATTTTCTTCTTTCCTTTCTTTCTCTTTTTTCTGTATTTCTTTGTCTTTGTCTGTCTTTGTATTTCTTTTTCTTCTCTTTTCTTTCCTTCTTTCTTTCTTTCTGTTTTTTCTCTCTCTTTCTTTTCTGTTGTAGGTGTTTTTTTTTCTTGTTTTGTGTTTTTGTTTTCCTTTCTCTCTTTTTTGTTGCTTCTTTTCTTTGACTCCTTTTTATCTCGTTTTGTTTTTATTTTTCCTCTTTTTCATCTGTTATTACTTGTCTTTTATCCTTTCTCTTCTACACGTTTATTCTCTTTTACTTCACTTCCTCGTTTCTTCTACCTCCTCTGTCTACTTCTCCGCCACTTTCTCCTTCTTTCTCTTCTCCTTCTCCTCCTCCTCCCTCCTTCTTCCCCTTTATCCTTTCACATCACATTCGTTGTCCACACTGTTTCCTCTTCTTCTCTCATCTACTCTTTTCACTCTCTTTATCCCTTTCGCTCCTTTTCCTCCTTCTCCTTCCCACCTCTCCCTTGTCAATCCTTCTCCTTCCCCCTTCCTCTCCCTCCCTCCTCCACCCTCTTTCCTCCATCTCCTCCATTACCTTTCCCCCCTCCCCCTCCTTCTCCCTCCCTCCCTCCTCCACCCTCTCACCCATCCCCTTTTCTCCCCTCCTTCCTCCACCCTCTCTCCCTCCCTCCCTCCTCCCCCTCCCCTCCCTCTCCCTTACCCCTCCACCCCTCCACCATCCCTCCCTCTCCCCCCCCTCCCTCCCTCTCCCTTTTCTTCCCTCCCCCCCTCCCCCACCCTCTCCCTTCCCCCCTCCTCCATCCCAAACTAGGTCATCTCTCTCGCGTTCTTGTCCCTTCCATCAACTCCTTGTAATGAAGATGTAATTTTGCACAAGGATTTTTTGCACAAGCGCTTTTCTATCAATAACTTTTATCTTGATACATACTGAAGACGTCTGATTCGGTTTCTTATGAATAATCAGTCAATCAGGGGTTTGCAAATAAGACCCCTCGATTTTACTACAGATTTTCGCACAGATTTTGCGTACGGAGGTTGATACGTGTGTGATGTGGGTAGACTTTTTTTTTTTTTTTTTTTTTTTTTTTTTTTTTTAAAGTTGGAGAGATTAATCTGATGGAAGGAAAATCAGTCAATCATGGTTGCTGTTTTACTTCGTTGATGTTCATGTTTTTTTTTTTTTTTTTTTTTTTTTTTTTTTTTGTCTCTCTCTCTCTCTCTCTCTCTCTCCTTTTTTCTCCTTTTCTCTCGCTCTCTCTCTCTCTTGCTCGCTCGCTCTCGTTCTCTCTCTCTCTCTCTCCCTCTCTCTCTCTCTCTCTCTCTCTCTCTCTCTCTCTCTCTCTCTCTCTCTCTCTCTCTCTCTCTCTCTCTCTCTCTCTCTCTCTTTCTCTCTCTCTCTCTCTCTCTCTCTCTCTCTCTCTCTCTCTTTCTCTCTCTCTCTCTCTCTCTCTCTCTCTCTCTCTCTCTCTCTCTCTCTCTCTCTCTCTCTCTCTCTCTCTCTCTCTCTCTCTCTCTCTCTCTCTTTCTCTCTCTCTCTCTCTCTCTCTCTCTTTCTCTCTCTCTCTTTTAATGGAGATCGCTTCCTTTCTTGCTATTTTGATTCGTTTTCATTTTCATATTTATTCATTATTATTCTTATTTTTTTCTAGTGTTTTTTTATCGTTCTTTTCTTTATCTTGGTTGATTCTCTCTTTCAATTTTCGTTTTTGTTTCGACTTTTCTTCCTCCTCTTCTTCCATTTACTCCTTCTATTTCTTCATCTTCTTCTTTCTCCTTGTCTCCCTCTTCCACCTTATCCCTACTTCCTTCTGTCTCTCTCCTCCTTCGTCTCCTTTTCTACTCCCTCTCTTTCTCCTCCTCTTTCCTTTACTCTCTTTCGCCTACTTTCCTTCTTCCTCTCCGGTTTCCATAATATCCCATTTTTCCTTCTCTCTCTCTCCTCATCTCTCTATTACTTCTCCCTTGTCCGTCCCTCCCCACTTCTTTTCTTTCTCATTCTCCTCCTCCTCCTCTTTTCTTCTACTTTCTTCCTCTTCCTCTTTTCTTGCTCGTTCTTCTCCTCCTCCTCTTTTCTTCCACCTTCTTCCTCTTCCTCTCTTCTTGTTCGTTCTCCTCCTCTTCCTATTTTCTTCCACCTTGCATACCTCCTTCCTCTTACTCTTCCTCCCCTTCTTCTTCACTATCTCTCTTATTCCGCCCTTCGCTCTGTGTGTGTCTGCCATGAGCCACTGCAACCCACCTGCAACCTACCTCTGCAATATCCACTCCCCTTCCCTTTCACCCACCTTCCATTCCCTACCCACCCACCACCCACTCCCCCCCCACCCTCATATCAGATATCTTGCCCTCATCATCCATCCCCTACCCCCCCCTTCATCCACCGTTCTCTTTTCTTCCTCCACCCTTATTCTGCCATCCATCGTCCACTTTCTTCCCCTCGCTTCAGATGTTCTGACCCACCAGCCATTTTATATTCCTTCTCCACTCACTATTCCCTCCCCCCCTCTCTACTCACTATCCCCCCCTCTCCATCCACTACACCCCCCCAATCCATCCACTACCCCCCTCTCCACCACAATCCCCTCCTCTCCATCCACTACCCCCCACTTTCCACGCACTAATCCCCCCCTCTCTACTCACTACCCCCCTCTCCACCCACTACCTCCCCCTCTCCACCACAATCCCCCCCTCTCTACTCACTATCCCCCCCTCTCCACTCACTACCACCCCCCCCCCCTCTCCATGCACTATCCCCCCCTCTCTCCACTCACTATCCCCCTTCTACCCACTACCCACTACCCCCCTCCACCTATCACCCACCTTCCTCTCCACCCTCATCCTTACTCTCCCTTACTCCTTCCATCCCCCCCCCCCCGACGTCCGCCTTTCCCCCCCTCCCCCCAACGTCCGCCTTCCACCTCTCCCTTACCGCCTACTACCCCCACTCCACCCCTCCCCCATGACGTCCTCCCTTCACCCCTACCACCCCCGACGTCCGCCCTCCCCCTCCCTCCACCGACGTCCGCCTTCCACCCTCCCCTCCTCCCCCACTAACCCCCCCTCCCCCCTTCCTCCCCCCCAACGTCCGCCTTCCCCCTCCCTCCCCCCAACGTCCGCCTTCCACCCCCCTGGACGCCCCCTCTCCTCCTCCTCCTCCTCCTCCTCCTCCTCCTCGTCGACAGCGTGAAGGGCGAAGGACGAAGCTCCACCTGGACAAATTGGGCTCCTGGGGGGTCGGCGCTTCAGGTGAGGGGGGAGGGGGGGAGGGGAGGGAGAGGTGATGGGGGAGGGAGGAGGAAGGGAGGGAGGGAGGGGAGGGGTGGGAAGGAGGAAGAGAGGGAGGGGTGGATGGGAGGGGTGGAGGGGAGACGGGGTGGGAGGAAAAG